TCCAGAGTGAAAGGGTCTAGACATTCAAAGGCAATATTTTAAAGTTGGCTCATGCCAGCCCGGCCAGCCATTACCGCAATACTCGCTGAAAGTCGTTTTGCTACAAGTGATGAGACCAAAAATGCCTGAAAATTATCCGATGATAAATGCACATGTCTACACCCGCTGGGACGCGTGTGCAATATTTGGCTAATCTCTATGCGCCTAAACAGCTATAAGGGTTTCAATTCTTAAGACGCCCTTATACGAAAGGTTTTGAAACTCGTATTGAACGGGAAAGATGCGCCAAATTGCAGGGCCGCATCGCGTTGCGTTCTAAAGCTACCGCAAAAACATGACGGTGGAAGTTGTGATGATGCGGGATGGCGTTGACGAGAACGTAAGAAAACTGCAACCGTACCTGGGGAATGGAGGGTTTTGCGTGCAGTACGTATGACGTAATTCAAAATCACTTTTCACCTTTCCTTCAAAAATGTCTTGAGAGAGAGAGAGAGGAGAGAGAGAGAAGAGAGAGGAGAGAGAGAGAGAGAGGAGAGAGAGAGAAGAGAGAGAGAGAGAGAGGGAGAGAGAGAGAGAGATGTATATATATATATATATATATATATATATATATATATATATATTATCCGATGATAGCTGGATGTAAGCTGCCGAACCACCTGAGTGTGTGACGTCACTGGTCATGAGTTTTACCGGTGTTTTTGGGCCAACTGAATATATTATATATTATATATTATATATATATTATTATATATATATATATGTATATATATATATGTTGCAGGCAAATCATGCTCCAATCAACCCCCCCCCCCCCGCATTTGGCTTTTAACTCTAGACACGGAAGAGAAAGACATTTAATATGCTCGGCCAAATAAGGGTAAAAATCTCCAAGCGGTGTTATGGAGTCCTAGTAGTACAATGTAAGTATTTGTAGCAATGTAATCATACAAAGGTATAGAAATTTCATTATGATAAAGGTTTGGGATATGGGCCAGAGTGAAAAAAATATGTGCCAAGAATGCATCTTCTCCTGCAGGAAGATTTTCAGGATAGGGAGCACTGTCCCCTTTTATGTGACGATAGAGGACGTCTAGGACTTCCCCTCCCCCTCCCCAGGAGGCGCCGCCCATGGTCACCGGTGACCTATGGTGAGCCTAAATCCGGCCTTCTTATCATCGCCTCTCTTCCAGCTGTAATGGAGCAGGAGTCTGCCATGCTAAACAAGGATGGCCGAATGACAGCCAAGGAAACCAGTGTTGCGCTGGATATCCCACGCACGGGTTCTTAGCACCGCCACAAAGCAAAAGAAGATCGTTGGTTGCGACGTGGTGATGTAATTTTTACTTAGGTACCTGTACGGCCTGCGGAGGGAAGAGCTGCGCTGCCTGCAGGGTTCCGAGTACTGCCGTCCTGGGAAAATGCTGTGAGGCATCAGCTGCCATTGTGACGTCACTGAAAATGGTTTTGCATCGATCGGGATCGGGTTCTTTTGGGCCGACTGAAGGCCATAACGCTTTTGCTAGTGATATGTCACTGGTATTCGGCTGGGTATGTGACGTCACTGGCCGTGAGTTTTTCAGGCTCTTTTGGGTCCACTGAATGCCGTAAGGCATCAGCTGGCGATGTGTCGTCACTGGTATTCGATTAAACATCAGGCGCGACCGGCCTCGTTCCATCTTTACTTTTCGTACCTGTCTGCTGCAAGCATTTGCTTGCCGCATAAAGGTTTGACCGAATCACGTCAATGTGTGACGTCACTAATCATCACTTCATGCGAGTGCATTTAGGCCGCTCGGCCACGCTGTGTTATGGTCCGCGAAGTATCACCGGATAGCGTGACGTCACTGGTATTCGAATAAATACTGGGCGCAGCGGTTCGTGCTTCATTTTTACCTTTTTACCCGTCTATTGCAAGCATTGGCGTGCTGGATGTAAGCTGCCGAACCACCTGAGTGTGTGACGTCACTGGTCATGAGTTTTACCGGTGTTTTTGGGCCAACTGAAGGCCACAAGGTGTCAGTTAACGACGTCACTGCTATACGACTGATTGTAAGACGTTAATGGTCGTGGGTTTTCACGGGCCCTTTAAGACCGACGAAATGCCGTAAGACATCAGCTGGGGATATGACGTCACTGGTATTCGGCTGGACATCGGGCAACGGCCATGCTCCATCTATACCTTTCGTACATGTCTACTGCAAGTATGGGCGGATTTTTTTCGGCCAACTGAAGACCATAAAGCATCAGCTAACGATGTGACGTCACTGGCATTCGACTGTGAGTGATGTCACTGGTCATGAGGTTTTGCGGCCTCTTTCGGGCCGACGAAAGGTCATACGGCACTAACTGACGATGTGACGTCACTGGTATTCGAATAAACTTCAGGCGCGACAGGCCATGTTCCACCTTTACCTTTGGTACCTGTCCATTGCAAGCATTGCCGTGCTGAAGGAAGGCTCTGTCGAATTACCTGAGTGTGTAACGTCACTGACCATTAATTTGTATACTCTTTTGAACCCACTATAGGCCACAAAACATCAGCTGACGATATGATGTCACTGGGTTTCGACTAAACATCATGCGCAGCAGGCCATGCTCTATCTTTACTTTTCGTACCTGTGTACTGTAAGCATTCGAGTGCTACACCAAGGCGATGCTGAACCATCTCAGTGGGTCACTGGTCATGAGTTTATACTGGTTCACTTGGGCCGCCCAGGACCACAAGGCATCCTATCCCGTGGAGTATCACGGGAAGATATCACATCATTGGTATTCGGCTTAACATCAACCGCAGCGGGTCATGTTCCATGTTTACCTTTGGTACCTGTTAACGATATGACATCACTGGCGTTCGACTTAACATCAGGCGCAACAGGTCATACTCCATCTTTGCCTTTCGTACCTGTAAAAGTATTGGCGAGCTGAATGATGGCTCTGTCGAATCACCTGAGTGTGCGACGTCTTGGGTTTTTACAGGTTATTTTTGGCTGAGTGAAAGCCATAAAGCATCAAC